ACATAGATTTTATGCATTCCTAATCAAAATTCCAACAGCATTCTTCACAGAACTAGAAAAAACTATATAGATCTGTAAAAATAATTACACAGATATAAATACGATCTTGGATTTAGAGTTATATTCCAAAGCTACAGTGATAAAAATTAAGAGAATGGAAGCACAGAGAACAAAGTGCACATCAATGGAACTGAACAAAAGGTACAGAAACAACTGGAGCACATTTAGCTATCACATACTTTTGACAAAGAGTCCCAAAACATAGCCTAGAGAAAAGATAGCTTCTTTGTCAGATGGTGCTGGGAAGACTGCTTGTTTACCTGCAGAAGATTAGATCTAGATCTGTATCTTTCACCTTATATTAAAATGGATCGAAACCTAGTTATGAAAAGAGAAAAACCAAATTTCCTAGAAGTAAAAAAAGATAAAACTCTTGAAGACATAGGCATAGACAATGGCTTTCTGAACAGAACTTCAGTTGCACAAGAAATAACATCAAGAATCAACAAATATCAAATCAAAAGGCTTCTGCATAGTAAAAGAACAGTGAAGAGCTAACCTAGAAAATGAGAAAGAAATTTTAATAGCTACTTCTTATACTAACTAGAATATATAAGGTACTCAAAAAAATAAAACCCCCCCCAAAATAAAAAAAAATCAAAAATGTGCAATTGAAATGAATAGACACTTCTCAGGAAAAGAAATACAAATGGGCAATAAACACATGAAAAATGTTCAACATCTTTGACCATTAAAGAAACATCAATACACCAGGGCTCGGGATATAGCTCAGTGGTACAGTGCCTTGCTTGGCAAGCACAAGGTCCTGAGTTCGATTTTTGGTACCACCCACCCCCAAAAAAAACAATGCACTGTACCGTATTCCATTTTATCTCAGAAGAGTATCATCATGAATTCAAAAGCAAGAAATGCTGGTGAGACAGTGAGGAAAAAGGGACTGTATCATTGGTGGGAATGTAAACTAGTACAAGTGTTACAAGTAGCTCCTCCTAAAAGTGACTCCTCAGTTAAGTGTTAACCACGTTCCAAATTGCTCTCCTTTCCCTCTTCAGGTCCTTATCTTAGTGAAGTGAATAATAACTTTCAAATAAGTTTATTTGAAAAAGTATTAAGTGAAGAATGAGGGTGAAACTGATTCTGCAGAGTGAATTTGGGCCAGGTAAAAGAAGAGAGAGTGGTAAAAGAACACCCTGGAGAAAACAGGGCTAGCTACTGTGAAGAAAGTCAAGATAGGCAAGTTCTTGGCATCTGGGTCTTTTATGCTGTACAAATCTTGAGGAAACCCACAGGAACATCTATATGTGGATCCTGAAATGTGGCGCTGGGATCCTTTGCCTCAAGCTGACACCACCAGATCTAAGCCATCCTACAGGAACCCTTCTCAAGAGAAGTCCAGATACAGGGCTTTAAGAACCATTCTGGGATCTTGTGGTTGACAGGTCACATCTGCTTCCCCATCAGTTTTGTCATGCCCAAACCTATCTTGTAACCACTATGCAAATCATAGAGAGTCCTCCAAAAATTGAAACTAGAAATTGTTTCACCCAGCTATACCTCTTAGGATATCTTCCTAAAAGACATCATATTACAATGATATGTGCATACTTGTGTTTGTTGCCACACTATGAACAGCTAAATCTTGCAGACAGCCTACATGCCTATCAACAAATGAATGGATAAAGAAAATGTATATATATATACAGTGGAATACTAGTCAGCCATAAAGAAGAATAACTTAAGAGTCATTTGTAGAAAAATGGACATACCTGGAGATCATGAGAATGAAATGAATTAGACACAGAAAGTTAAATATCACGTGGCTCTTATGTGAAAAAACCAAAATATATATAAAAGGCAAAATAAAAGAAATAATGGGAAATAGGCAGAGGTAGACTTTGAATCAGTGGGAAGGGAATCTAGAGTTGGAGGGTGTACTAGTCAGTGCTCACAAGGTAGGCTTATGGCCACCCACAGTCAGATGTGAATGCAAAAGGGCTGTCTGCCACTGCAAGTGTGGAGTTCACTGTAGTTTCCCATGTGAGACTATCAGGAGGTTGAAAGGCTGACGGGTCTGTCCTGGAAGCCAGAAGAGGTGAAAGTGAAGACTGTTTCCTGCCTCCCAGGAAATAAAAGCAGTCTTCCGTCTCCCTTTTACTCCATTCAGGCTACAAACCTGTTGGTGCTACTCAGATCCTGGGTCTTCTCTGTTCTTTAGATCCTTGCAGCCACACCCAAAATTACACTAATCCAATTTAGTTGGGAAGGGCCTGGGAGATAGCTCAGCAGCATAAGCACCTGCCTGGGAAGTGCAAGGTCCTGAATTTGAGCCTAGGTACCTAAAAAAACAAAATAAACAACCAATTTAATTGGGAGTTTTTTATTCAGATTGACACTTAACTATCACAGAGGGAGAGGAAAGGAAGAGAGTGGAAAGGGAAGCAAAAAGGATTAACATGCAACATGTATATGTACAAACTGACCACTATGAAAGTATTTCTCACATATTGCAAACATGTATTAATACAAATTTTTAAAGTCTATAATATTCTGTATATTAGGAATGTTCAAAATTATAGCAAATTATAGAGGCATAAAACAAATTAGATGCTGTGTGTTAAGGGGAAGTGGAGATGGGGAGTAACAGTTAATGGTACTGAGTTTTTGAGGGGGTGATGAAAATGTTCTGTAATTAGATTGTATTGATAGTGTGCAATTTTGTGAACATACCAGAACCCACTGAATACACACTTCTGGAAGGATAAATTTATGTTATGTGAATTGTATCTTAGTGAAGCTATTTTTAAGGATTAACATTCAACTTGATGCATGTATGCTGTGGACACTAATAGAAGTCCAAAACAAAATAAATGATGAAGCTGTATTTTAGATAAAAATTTGCACACATACAACAATATACAATGCATTGTTGTAACTGTCCTGCTAACCTGTTTTGAAACTGTTTCATTGCTATTTTATCTTTTTTCTCATTAAAACTAATAAAAAAATTTTCACACATGTGAAGAGTTAAAACGTAAGAAATTGCATGGGTTATGGTTACAAAACTGAGACAACTGAGCTGTAAAAGGCTCAAGTCAACAACTTCTGACATCGCCAGTCTACAGATAACCCACTACTTCTATGGACTGCTAGGACTATATTGGATTATTTTGCTGAGTTCATGCACTTACAATATTTAAATGGTAATGGAATACCCATCTCTGACAAAAATAAACAAAAAAAGGGGCTACAAATGTAGGACCATTTTGTATCTGTATATACAAATAGGATAGATATACAGCTACTTTCTCTTAATTCAATAAGAGGAAAGATTTCTACTAATTGTGTTTGGATGAGATATCATGTCTGCATCTTATACTATGAATAACCACTATGAACACAACAGTATGCAATGTATTAACTATTGAAACTGTCCTAATGGGTTTTGAAACTGTCTCATTGCTATTTGTTTCTCAATAAAATTAATTGAAAAAGAAAAAAAAAGACAAAATATTTTCAGATACTTTTTTAGATCTGGTTAAGTCCTGGTTACTGATCACCTGAGTAATTTTATTCCAAGTTAACACTTAAACTAAGTGTATTCTTTTGGTTTAATTCTTTAAAATGAAAAAACATAATTCATGCTTTGTGAATGGGCTGGAGAGAGCACTATAAATATTTTTTTAAACTACAAAAACCTAATTTTTCAAATGATACAAGTTTTGCATATTCATAATGAATGTCTATAATCTAGTTCAGAAGGTTTTGAACATGTCATGTATTCAACTACCTTCATCTTTTTAAGACTGACCATTAGTGTTCAACTCCTCACAAATTCTCTTTATTTCTTTCTACACTTTTGTTTGAATGTTTTGATGATCATTTCATCTAACTTTTAGAAGAAATACAATATTGTACCCCTCTAGTCCCTAAAAGTATGGTGTTTTTACTGTGTTTTACTTATTTTTTACTGTGTTTTACTTAACCCTATCTCCATGGTTTAAAGGCAGTAATTTTACACAGCCTTGTTGTTAAACTTATTCATAAATGCATTTAGGAACAAACAGATATCAATTTTAGGTCCTATTCAAGGTAAATCTTGCACTACTGTACATGTTTATCCATAAAGACATTGTGCTACTTGAGAATCCTCCATAAAGCCTAGCATTACAGAATAAAATTATTCCACTTTGGGAATGCAGAGGTAAAAGATGCATCCTTTTCCTGTGGAAATTAAAAACATGTAAGTTTTAAGGTAGCTTTGTGTTGATTTGAAATTTTTAATTGTCATAAAAGTTTAATTATTTGATTAAGGTACAGGTTCCTCAGTGTTCATTGCTCACAGAATACCTTGTACAGTTTGATTTTATGTGTCTGTCTGTAGCATTGTCTTAAACCTATGCATAAAATGTAGCAGTTTCTTTTATACTTTATAATGTTAATAAGAAAAAATGTGAATTAGTATTTAAATCTAACTTATCAAAGGATTAGTTGGCTAGAAAAAGGTAACTTTTCTAAAGTAACATTAAATTTCATATTTAATTTTATACTTAATTATACATGTTAAATTTTTTTTGATATTTTTATTTCCTTTTCCCAGTTAATGAATAATGCTCTTCTTTTAAACATATTGGATCATAAGTTTCAAAAGAAAATTTTTATCTTTTTCTCTTTGTTTATTGTATCACACTTGGAAAATAAATGGTAAAAATAGCTTTTGTGGAAAGTAGATGATAATAGAAGATTGGAGACACCTGGAAGTAATTTAGTTGGTTGTAAAATTATGTGAGATAATGGACCCTCAGAAATGAGAGATGTTGTACTTTTCATTTAGGTCATAGTCCTAGAAATTTTTTCTGGAATAAAACTTTGATCCAGAATCTTGGCTCTTTCACTGATGTATGTTTACCATGTATAGAGCACAAGGTGACTAAATATTTGGACAAACAGAATAAATAACAGTCTCCACTTTTGATTTTTAGGTGCGGTACCTAGAAGAAGAGAGACCTTTTGCAATTGAGCAGGTGACAGGAATGTTGTTGGCTAAGCTTAAAGAGATTGCAGAAAATGCTTTAAAGAAACCAGTAGCTGATTGTGTGATTTCAGTAAGTTTTACTTTAGTAAATCATATTTTTCAATCTATTCATGTTATATAGAAATGTATTTCTTCCTTTGATACTTTTCATCCTTATCCAGAAGATAACCTAAATTTATAAATTAATTTAGAACTTTTCCTTTTTAAACAAAATTACCAACAATTATAAGAACACGCCTGTAATCCTAATACTTAGGAGGTTGAGGCAGGAGGATGCTGTGAGTTTGAGGCTAGCCTGAGCTAAAAAGTGAGTTCAACCTGAAGTGCTGAGTGAAACCTTGTCTCAAAAGACAATTAATGAAAAATAAAAAAAAAATTATCTTTTTTGGTAAAATTTAGGATTGAAATTCCCATAAAGTCAGTTGTGATAGTGAATCATATTATGTAAATTTTTAGGGGCCATTGCACCTGTCACTTATATAAGAATTTTCCTAAGTAGCACTTAGCTTCCAACTTTCAAGGACTTTTATGTTTTTGATACAATATAAAATTCCCATTTGGGAATCTGAGGTTTTTATATATTCTGTGTCAGAAAAAATTCTTACGATCCTCACCAAAACATTTAATTATTTACCTTCCTTGTCTCTTAAAATTCCACTGAATATTGTTAACTTGTATTTAATTTACATAATGTCTTAGCATTGATATTGCCTACATAAGAATTCAAAAAAAGTCACGAGAAAAAGGAACCAGATTATGAACTCTTTAGTGAATTTAGTAGTTCATCGGCATTTAGGATTTTAAATTCATTGGCATTTGGAATTTTTAATAAGAGAAAAACAGTGAAACTTGATATTTTTCTCCATTTAGTAATGTAAATAGTTTACTATTGACTAGGCACTATTTTAGTTATTTTGTATGTTTTAACTCTTTTAATCCTCAGAATCATCTGATGGGCATATTATTAACATCAGCTTTTTCATATTAAAAATTTGAGGGATATAGTTCATTCCCAAGATCATACTGGTAACTCTTTCATTACACTGTCTCTTGAATGTGTATGTTCATGGAAAAAAATTAAAAAGTCACCTTAGTTTCTTATTTCTCCCAATTTACCTTACTTACTTTTGTTTACATGTCAGAAATTAGTGTCAGAATGCAATAATAAGAACTTTCGGGACCAGGGAGATGGCTCAGTGGATTAAGCACTTCCCTGGCAAGCGTAAGGGCCTGAGTTCAATCCCTGGTTCTGCAAAAAAAAAAAAAAAAGAAGAAGAACTTTCAACTGTAACTTTGTGGTTGACATAGTTGACTCATTGTGAGTTCTATGAGGACAAATATTTTATCAGTTTTGGGCTCCAGTAAAACCCTAGTAGACAGAAAATTATTTAGTTAATAAGTTATCCAATTTTATATAAACCATACATCGTAATTTAAGATTTCTGTCAGGAAGAGAAGACCAAATCACCAAGCTTACCAGATAAAATTTAAGTTCCTTTCCTACTGTTAACATGTATAGAATGAAATTTCTGTATTCAAAGAACAAAATATCAGAGGAGACTACTTAGAGTTGGGAAAGCCTTGATTATTCTGTGCATGACTATACTTCCTAATTAGCTTTGCAGAAATTTATTTTTATTTTTATTTCTTTATAATTTTTATTCATTTTAATGAAAAAGAAAGATAAAATAGCAATGAAACAGTTTCCAAACAGGTTAGTAGGACGTTTACAATAATTAATACATTGTATATTGTTGTCTTCCTAGTAGTTATTCAGAGGACAGGTTGCAAACATATCTAAACAGGGGGCTGGGGAGATGGCTCAGTGGAATAAGCGCTTCCCTGGCAAGTGCAAGGACCTGAGTTCAATCCCCGGTTCCACCAAAAAAAAAAAAAAATATCTAAACAATATTAGTACAGACTTTTTTATTCTCAGTGAACTAAGAGAAAGTAGCTGTAGATCTTAACTCTCCTGTGTATACATGTATATGTTTTTATTTTCCTTCCCCCTTTTTTTTTCACAACTGTCTTTTATTTACGCTTTTGTGAAGTTAGTAACACATGACACTAGGTTGCTTAGCAACTGATAGCAAAACCTTAACCTGACAGGAATTTCATCTCAGAAGTGAGGTAACTTGTTTGCTTTACACACTGGGTCAAGTCCCACCTACATATATGTGATCGATTTCCTAGCTTTGTGGCTCCCAATATATACCCCTTTTCCATTTTGTTTTTTCAGAGATGGGTGTTCAGCTTTATAGAAATTTGCAGGCTTAAAAATTGCTTGCTTTAGGGCCAGGGAGTTAGCTTAGTAGAGCTCCCACGTTCAATTCCCGGTACCGCCAAAAAAAAAAAAAAAAAAAAAAAAAAAGCCTGCTTTGACAGAAATACTGAACAGATAAATGTTAGCTCTATTTTTTATTTATTTATTTATTTAGTTTTTTGCGGAACCAGGGGTTGAACTCAGGCCCTTGCACTTGCAGGGAAGCGCTTATTCCACTGAGCCATCTCCCCTAAGTCTGAACATACAGTTTTTTATAATGATTGTAAAACAAATACATGCTCATAACTTCCCTGTAATACATGTTTCTCCTGTTTGGAAATATAGCCATTTCAAGGAATTGGGATTTTATTCTTTAGAATATATATTGTTGTCTTAAGTTACTTTTTACTCGTTGCTGGGACAAATACCCGACACTCAAAATGAAGGAAGTAAAGGTTTATTTAGCTTACAGTTACTGGAGGGTTCAGTCCATATTCTGCTGACTCCAAGGCAAACAACAGCAGTTCATGCGGTAGAAAACAATGAAGAGCAGAGGAGGAGCAGCAGCTGCGGAGTCCATCAAGCCTCTCTCTTCCTTCTGCGCTAACTGCGAAGACTGGCGCTCCACAGTGAAGACCAGCACTCCTCCAAAGTGGGGCGGCTGCCAAGATCAAGGGGCTCCGAAGTCTGAGACTTCTCCACGGAAGCGGGGCGGGGCAGCAGGAAACCAGGCAGGGCAGCAGGAAACCTTTCTCAATTCCTGGGCCCTGCCCACCTGCAGGGCAAGGCCCCCACACTGAGATCTGCCGGAGCTGATTCAGCCAAGTTGACACAATGTATCAAATAACACAATTGTATAGAATATAGAATATACTTTAGAATATATATATAGAATGTATATAGAGGGGCTGGAGAGATGGCTCAGTGGTCTAAAGCACCTACTTAAAACAAGCTCAGCAAAAGCATCAGGGACCGCGGTTCAATCCCCCAGCACCACATGCCAGCCAGCCCCGCCCCCTGGTGGGCTGAGCTGGCCACACTCACACACACCACTCTCTCTCTCTCTCTCTCTCTCTCTCTCTCTCTCTCTCAAATAAATTAAAAAAAAAATTAAAAAAAAAGGATGTATATAGAATACAGAATATATATTCTAAAGAATATATAGAATATATGCATATATATTCTAAAGAATATATATATATAATGAAACTATGTTAGACATGACTATTAATATCACATATTATTCTATGATACTATAGATCTACCTAGTTCTTTGTAACAGTTATAGGGTACCATTATATGTATATATACTATATTCAATCTCATTTTAGCAGCCTTAAAGTTTGACTTTTTCATTATTAAAGATGAACGTTTTCTAATAATCTAGTGTATTAGTCCATTTTTCATTACTATATCAAAATATGTGAGGTAGAATAACTTTACAAAGAAAGTACAATTATTTAGTTCACAGGTTTGGAGGTTGAAAGTCCAAGAATGGTTGGCCCCATTAATTTGGCCTCTAGAACAGGCCTAATAGTATTATGACAGGAATGTGTATGGAAAGAAGGACCACACTGCCAGACAGGAAGTCTAAGAGATTTGAGTCCAACAGTTCCTATCCAGGCAATAGCCCCCATATGACCAGAGGACCTTCCATTAGCCCCGTCTCTAAAGACTTAACACTGAAAAAGAGTCACAGTGAAAACCAAGCTTCTTGGGGCTTTTTGGGTTTTTTTGTTTTGTTTTGGTGGAACCGGGGATTGAACTCTGACCCTTACGCTTGCCAGGAAAGCGCTTATTCCACTGAGCCATCTCCCCAGCCCCTAAAACCAAGCTTGTAATAATGAATCTTTGAAGGAACAAACACTATCCAAACTATAGCAGTCAGAGTATAATATAAATGTTTAGATTAACTGAACATTGGCATTTCTGCCATTTAATTAATTACCTTAACTGATATTATAATTACAGGCCAAATTTTTATGGTATAAAAATGGTTAAAATTATTTTTTGTTTATTTAATGAAAAACAACTTTCTTTGCCTTAAACTTACATAATTTTTAGTGCAATTATTTTACATTTTCCTTTGATGAAATATTTAAGTAAAATCTGTTACCTCAAACTAATATATTTAATTATTGTTTTTAAATATCAGGTTCCTAGCTTTTTCACTGATGCTGAAAGAAGGTCTGTGCTGGCTGCAGCTCAGGTTGCAGGCTTAAATTGTTTAAGGCTAATGAATGAAACTACAGCAGGTAAGTATTGTACAGTTTTGAGAATCAATATCAAAGGTTTTTTCTCTTTAATAATGTAAGTTTTTAACTCTTGCTATGTATTGGTTCTTGTAAGCTTGTTGCTTTGGAGTAGAACATTTTAGCAGAAGTTAAATATTTCTTATTGGCTGTAAGAGTAGTTACTATTTCAGACTTACAGACAAGTAGGGAATTAAAAAACCAACTTTATGAAAAGTGAATTTACTTTGAAACTGATTTTTTTATTACTGTACTGTATGTTAAAACACAGTATCAAAGTAACATCTCTTATTTTCCAAGTAATTATGATAATAGTAGTAACCTGATTCTTTGTTCTTACACAGTTGCACTAGCATATGGAATTTATAAACAGGATCTTCCCTCATTAGATGAGAAACCAAGAAATGTAGTATTTATTGATATGGGACATTCTGCCTATCAGGTCTCAGTTTGTGCCTTTAACAAAGGAAAACTTAAAGTAAGTAAATAAATGATTTGCTATATTTAACTTTAATTATTAAGAGCACAGACTGTATAAAGAATCTTAATATATGGGCTTTCACCTTGGCTCTGCCCTTTAAAAACTGACTTTGAGCAAGTTTTTAACCTCCCTAAATCTTAGTTTTCCTGTCTGAGGATAATATCAGTAATTATCTCTGAGAATTTTTTTGGGGAAAAAAATGAGTTATATATTTTAAATGGTTAGGATGCCTGGCATATAATATGTGTTATTTGTTATTGTACTTTTTTTTTTTCATTTTTCATTTTTCATTAGGGAAGGGGCTATGGGATGTCCAGAGTCTCACTACTAGATTGGACTCGTAGTGATCCACCTGTTTATAGCCTCCCAAGAGCTGGGATTACAGGTGCGTCCCACCACGCCCAGTCTCAGCGCGCCCTGGGGGGCAGGGCCAGCACGGTAGGTCTGGGGATCGAACCCCGACCCCTGCACCTGCTGGCAGGCGCTTTAATCTGCTGAGCTATTCAGCTGGCCCTGTTATTGTACTTTTAAGCTTTTTTTTTTTTTTTTTTTGAGTTGTTAAAACAATTAGGAAGATTTTATATAGGAAATGTTTTCTAAAGTGATTCATATTATTTCAGTGTCTTTCTAGGAGTGTTTATCTTTTTATGGTCTATATTTAATTTTATATTCACTTTTATATTGACTGTCCACACTTAAGATCTCTCCACTGTGCATTATGAGTAGAGTTTACTGAGGAGATAATAGTTTATCCAGCTCTGCAAGAGCCTTTTGTCTTTCAGCTTTATATAATAACATCCTTGTAATGAGAGCATTAAAGGAAAATGACTCATGTTGAATACAAGGGAACTTTTCTTTAGTATAAATGGGTTTATTTTCCCTTAGCCTTAAATTTTAACATAATTTTTTTTGTTTTGTTTTTTGAGACGGGGTCTTCCTGTGCAATTCAGGCTGGCATTCAACTCATATGTAGTTCAAACTGTTCTCAAAATTACACTGCCCCTCCTGCCTCAGCTTCCCAAGCCACGATGCCCAGTTTGTCAATTAGTTCATGTTAATACTGTCTCTGTATTGTTTTTTGTTTTGTTTTGTTTTTTTGCTATCTCATGTAATCTATTTTTTCCCCCTACTTTGAGATAGAATCTCACTGATGACATTGCCTAGCTTGGCCTCAAATTATTGATTCTCCCACCTCAGCTTCCTGAGTTCCTGGGATTATAAGCATGCACCACCATGCTTGGTTTCATGTATTCTTTTAAGTTTTTGTTAAAATAAGTTGGAATTTTATTTGTTTGTTGTTTTAAGTAGTATGCAGCAGGTTGTATATTGAATATTTATAGTATTTTAATCTTTAGATCTGCTTTTTAAAAAAAGTTTTGTTCTTGTTTGTATCCTTAGACATGTTTCTTTACTGTCTTAGACTTGATTTTTAATATAATGGTATTGTGGAACCAAAGAATATAAGATAGTGAAGTTGTAATTTATTTCAGAATTAAAATGATTCTTCAAATTATTATATATGGATCTGTAATATAAAGCATAAAATTAAGAGTAAGGAGATATGTTAACTCAATATAGGTGGTAATGTAACTCAGATTCCCTGCAATTCAAAGAAGTTCCTAAGGTTTTTTTTATTATTATATTACAGTTTTTTTCTATCTATCTTTCTGAAAATTCAGTTCTGCTTTTTCAATTGAACAGGTTTTGGCTACTACCTTTGACCCATATTTGGGTGGCAGAAACTTTGATGAGGCTTTAGTAGACTACTTCTGTGATGAGTTCAAGACCAAATATAAAATAAATGTAAAAGAAAACTCTCGGGCCTTGTTGCGTTTGTATCAAGAATGTGAAAAACTGAAGAAACTAATGAGTGCAAATGCATCAGATCTTCCACTGAACATTGAATGTTTCATGAATGACCTTGATGTTTCTAGTAAAATGAACAGGTAGTGTATTTATTTTCAGTTGGAAAAGTATTTGTGTATTTTATAATGTTTAGATCATATCTGGTTCTTTTTATGCTGTTATTTTAGAAACTATGTGCAGCCTTTTATCCCAAAACAATGTTTTTATTTCATTTTGTCACAGGGCTCAATATGAGCAGTTATGTGCTTCCCTCTTGGCCAGAGTTGAACCACCTTTAAAAGCAGTAATGGAACAAGCTAGTAAGTAGAAATTTGTCACAATTGAACTATGTGGTAAAAGCAATAAAAAATTTATTGTCTTTGAAAGATATTTCACATTTTTAGAGAAAGCTATTATATTCTGTAATCATAAGATAGGGCATGAGAAATCTGGCTTAGAATTCTTTCCTGAGTATTTTATTATTTATATCATAAAGCCTATGATACTTACATTTGGAGGTATTCATATGTAAGGTTAGAAGATTGTAAAATGAAATTAAGGTAGAAGTGGGGGTGTGATTGCTTTTCAAAAGATTTCTGATAACAAGGCCAGATAGGGCGGCACATGTTTATAATCCCAGCTACTCATAAAGGTACCCTGGGCACCTCACTAAGACTTTGTCTCCAATAAGAAACAAAAAGGAAGTGTGCAAATCAGAACAATCAATAAAAGCAAAAATACTGTTTGACACACATACCTCTACTGGGTATCTTCCAGAGACGAAAGAGTTAAAGGTATCAAATTACAGCACAAATCATAATAGCTAAATTTTTGAAACACCCTTATGCCCATCAACAGATGACTAAGTAAAGAAAATGTAATATCTGTGTACAAGGAGTATTACTCAGCCATAAAGAAAGATAAATTTTAGTCAATTTTAGGGAAATGTATGATATTGAAGACTATAATGCTGAAGGAAATCAGCCAACCAGGTTTAAATATTACATGGGTTCTCTTATTGAAAACACCAAGATAAAAATGAAGAGCAAGATACGAGAGATGATAGGAAACAGATAAACTTTAGGGAGTTGGAAATAGACCTGGGATGAAGGGGAGGGTAAGATGGAGAGAGAAAGAGAAATTAAAAATATGATTAAGCTGAGATACATATATATGGTAATTCCCCAAAATGATTATAATTATTATATATCACAGATATACATTAATAAACAAACATTTTAAAAAGGGTTGAGACTCAGTAGTGTAGAACTTTCCTACAATGTGCAAGGTCCACCACATGCACAAAAAATGGTTTTAGTAACCAATTAAAAACACCTTCTAGGGCCAGGGAGATAACTCAGTAGAATAAGCACTTGCCTGGCAAGCACAAGGGCCTGAGTTCAATCCCCGGTTCTGAAAAAATTAAAAAAAACACCTCTGTAAAAGAACTCTAAAGAAGTTCTTCAAAATTCCAGAGGTGCTTGTTAGTCCCTATTGTCACTCAAGGACTTTAGACCAAATCCAGTGCTGATAGCATAGATAATTAATAATACTTTGGGCTAATTTCAAAATTTGTTTTTAATCTTTTGTTTTCTCTTCTTTTGAGTGTACCAAAAAAAATATGCGCAATACTTTCAAGCACCTGGTATGCTGGCACACACCTATAATCCCAGCACTTGGGAGGCTGAGGCAGGAAGATCAAAAGGCCAACCTGAGCCACATAGCCAGCCCCTGTCTCAGAACCCTCTTCCAAGAAACAAACTTGCCAAATCCTACTGTTCACAGACTTTTGAAGACTCTTATTTTTCTCATTGAAAAACATTTTATTTTTCAGACTTACAACGTGAAGACATAAGCAGCATAGAAATCGTAGGAGGAGCAACGCGAATTCCTGCAGTGAAGGAACATATTACCAAATTTTTTCTTAAAGATATAAGTACCACTTTAAATGCTGATGAAGCTGTTGCAAGAGGATGTGCATTACAGGTTTTTCTTTTTCTTTATATTTTGCTAGAAGGGGTGATAAGTGTGAAGATTTAAATATTATTTCAGTTACCTGTCAAGCCTAAATTTTTTTTTAATGTATTAAGTGCAAGGTCTACAGGGTCTCACTACATAGATCAGACTCGTAGTGATTCTCCTGTTTTCAGCCTCTCAAGTTCTGGGATTGCAGGCACACACCACCACACCCAATCACAGTCACTGTCTCAGTGCACCTCGGGGATGGGGCCAGCACAGCACACTGGGGATTGAACCTCAATCCCTGCATCTGCCTAAGCAGGCACTTTAGTTTGTAAGCTATTTGGCTGGCCCTAATGAGCCTAAATTCTTGTGTAATTTTTTGTTTTTCAACTATACTAGGATTTTGTATTTACACTGAAATATCATTTATAAGTACTTGATTTTTTTTTAAATGTATTTAGTACAGGGTCTTACTATGCAGCTTAGACTCGTAGTGATCCTCCTGTTTTCAGCCTCACTAGTGGTGGAATTACAAACGTGCACCACCATGCTGGGTCTCGGTGGCTGGCTTAGTGCCCCTGGGGGCAGAGCTGGCACAGCATGTGGTATTGGGGATCATACCCCATCTCTGCTCTGTCCCTGTGCTTACCTAAACAAGCACTTTCTCCGTTGAACTATCTCACTGGCCATTATTTTATTAGTTTTTGAAACTATGCCCATTTAAAATTGCTTTTTGAGATTTGAAAATGTCACTACATTAATTTTTATATGGTCACATACAATTTCTCTGGCTCTTAACTAAAGAACAGGGATTTTTAAAATATAACAGTTTTACTAAGATTTCATTAGGTAGTTCAATCAGGGTGAAATAAAGTTGTATCTATTGATTCAAATATGGTATGCTTCTTATTTTCAGTGTGCAATTCTCTCACCAGCATTTAAAGTACGTGAATTTTCTATAACAGACATTGTTCCCTATTCAGTCACATTAAGATGGAGGACCTCTTTTGAAGATGGAGCTGGGTGAGTTATTTTTAAAATCTTGGTTAGTGCTTATAAATCTTTAACCAATTTAATCTACTTTTTCTAAGTTAAAGGCATTTATACTTACTAAAATTCTAGCAAATAGTTCAAAATAAACTAT